TTTTTTTTTTTTTTGAGACAGAGCTTTAAGCTGTTCCCCTGGGTAGAGTGCTGTAGCATCACAGCTCACAGCAACCTCCAATTCCTAGGCTCCAGTGAGTCTCCTGCCTCAGCCTCCCTAATAGCTGGGACCACAGGTGCTCGCCACAACGCCTGGCTATGTTTTGGTTGGAGCCATCATTGTTTGGTGGGCCCAGGCTGGATTTGAACCCGCCACCTTGGGTGTACACGGCTGGCGCCTTAGCCACTTGAGCCACAGGTGCCGAGCCAACTAGGTCTTTTATGAAACATACATAGCACAAGCTTGCCACAAGGCAGAGGCTCAGTAAATAATTTGATTTTCGGTGTTTGTTTTGAATGAATAAATGAGACGTCATTGTGAACATACAAGTGCTATTATACTTATTTCTGATGGATACTGCTGAGAAGGGGGAAGAAATCAAGTTTCTTGCCTAGGACTTTCTGTGCAGCTCTTGTTTTAGAAGGTATATCTGGCTGCTTTATGTGAAAATCTTTTCCTTTTCCTTGAGTTTATTTACCTATGTGAACACGATTCTTTATTCAGTTCACTTAAGCTCAGTGTACAGTGCCACCAAGCCAAACAAAAAAAAACCCCTAATCCCACATCTGAAACTGAACCACCAGAAATACCATAGCTGGGGAATAACCAGCTCTGCACACTGAATCTTGTTGGGGGTTGTGAGCCTCCAGAAAGCAGAGTTTAATTTCATAAAGTGGTTATTCACCCTATCTTTATGAAGGGGAGAAAATCAACTGGTCCTTCCTAGAAGCCTAGCGCCTTGCCCACAGTAAATATAGACAAAAACCCATTCATTTGCATTTGAAGTGCTATGCAAATCAATTTGTTAGCTATATACCATGAATAGATGATTATGTATAAACTGATATAAACTTTGGAAATAATCCCCAATCTTCCAAAAACCTATTAAAAAGGATTTTGTTTCTACTTTAGCTCTGATTCAAGTTCTTTTCTCAGTTTTTTCCTTTTTTTGGCTTCCTTATTTGAGACAGGGTCTTGCTGTCACCCAGGCCAGAGTGCAATGGCACGATCATAGCTCACTACAACCTCAAACTCCTGGCTTCAAGCAATCCTGCCTCAGCCTCCTGTGTAGTTAGAACCACAGGCTCGAGCCTCTATGCCCAGATAATTTTTTCATTTATTTCGTAAAAATGTACATTTCATTATGTTGCCAAATCTAGTCTTAAACTCTTAGCCTCAAAAGAGCCTCCCAGCTTGGCCTCCCAAAGTGCAGAGAATTCAGGTATGAGTCACCACCCCTATCTTGTCTCCATTTTAAGATGGCTGAACAACCACTGGCAACTTGTATCAAAACAAACAGGCTTTCAACACCTTACAGTAGATTTATATAAACTATAGTAAAACCTCTCTGTAACAAACGGGTCAACTTATGGAGATGGTTAACATAAGAAACTAGGGCAAGTGTACTGACAAAAATTAAGTCAACTTAGCTGGGCGCCCGTAGCTCAATGGTTAAGAGTGCTGGCCCACGCACTGGGGTTGGTGGGATCAAACCCAGTCTGGGCCTGCTAAACAAAACAAAACAAACCAAAAAAAAAAAAAAGACCAGCAAGAATGAGATGTAGCGGGCACCTATAGTCTCAGCTACTTGGGAGGCTGAGGTAAGAAGATGGCTTAAACCCAAGAGTTTGAGGTTGCTGTGAGCTGTGATGCCAAGGCACTCTACCTAGGGTGACAAAGTGACACAGTCTCAAAAAAAAAAAGTTGGCTCAGCGCCTGTGGCTCAAGTGGCTAAGGTGCCAGCCACATACACCTAAGGCGGTGGGTTCGAATCTAGCCCGGGCCCGCCAAACAATGACAGCTGCAACCAAAAAAATAGCCAGGTATTGTGGTGGGTGCCTGTGGTCCCAGCTACTTGGGAGGCTGAGGCAGGAGACTCGCTTGAGCCCAGGAGTTGGATGGAGGTTGCTGTGAGCTGTGATGTCACAGCACTCTACCCAAGGATAGAGCTTGAGGCTCTGTCTCAAAAAAAACAAAAACAAAAAAAGTCAATTTAAGGAGGTGGTCAATGTAGGGCAGTAGTCAACTATGGAGGTTCCATTGTATTTATAAGGATTGAAGATAAAAATTTGGATGTTGATAGCATAAAGAAAAAAGTACTCAGTCTTGTCTCTTTTGCCACTTACTTACTAAGTGACCCTGAGCAGATATTTGGCCAGTTTCTCTATTTAGAGAGGGGTAGTGATTGAGATGATGCCGCCTGTGGTCTCTTCCAGCTCACATTTCAGTCTGTATTTCTCACCCTTTAGCTTTATGGTAGAGCCAGTTTAGACCAAAGACAAAATCCCCAATTATGTTCTAACATGTGCTCAACCTTAAGTTTCTAAATCCCAATGCACAAAAATGGATTGAGAAGGGGCTTGGCCATGTATTAGAAATTTTAAAGAGCATTGTATCAGGATTGAAGTCAAGTTAATTTCTCATCCTCTGGTTCCTTCTTTATATATAGCTTGTAAAATTCTTTATCAAGGTTCCCCTGTGGACCCTTTGGTTTCACATGCTATTTATACAGAAAGAATCCCACAAATTTGCTTTTGAGACCTGCATCCTAAAACCAAAATAGCCCATGATACAGCCTCTAAGTCATCATTTATTGATTTATAGAGCACCCATCACATGATTGAGGTGCTTTACAATACAGTAAACATCACAACAGAACTCACATAGTTAAATACAATCAACAAATTACAGAACTAAAAAAAAAAAAAAAACTGGAATGAAGCAACATTATGTCAAATTTCAAAGATGCTGAGAAGTGGCAGTACAAAAAAGGTAATTCCACCAACTGGAGACCAGACGGGCAAAGATACACAGGCACCACAACCCAAAGCGGGCAGATCTGTAGGGGGGTGAGTGAGCATATAAAATTTCACAACTGAGAATGAAGGCCATTGAAGATACTATGACAATCAAGTGATCACAGAACTAGTGGAATAACCTGACAAGCATATTACCTTGTAATGACAAGGAAATCAACTTCATATAGATTTTAAACTCAAAAGAGGCCAGAAAGCCACTGAGACCATCCATCCCATTATGACCACAGACTGAAAATCTGTAAGAAGCCTCTACAAGAACTTGGAATAAATTTAGGAAATAGCCAACAGTTCTACAATCCTTCAGACTATGTAGATGTTGGTGGTTGGCACGAGGGTAAGGGGGGAAAAATCCTTTTCCTAAAGCAGAGAAGACTCACCTCACACTAATGATGAGGTCCTGGTGGGACAAAAGCCACCTGGTTCAGTGCCATCTGAGTGTGGTTTAATTTAAAATGTGGAGGCATTTAAGTTTACATTTTCAGATGAACACTGGGAAAGGCACAGATGACATCTCTGACAGAGGAAAAAATAGTCATAACATCTTTCTAGGCCTGTGTTTCAGGATGTAGCACGGTCAGGGCATCAGGTGGAAAAGAGCATGAAAAGAGATGCACTCATTCCTGGCTCTCCTTTCTGCTCCCCTAGAACTAGTCCTTAAAAAACCACATGGTTATACCAAAGTAAAACTGCATTAAAGTGGCACTTAAAAGTTCAAAAATAGTTGTCCCTGAGTTACTAGGTCATTTGCTACTTGCTGAAGAATCAAATCCAGGTTTTAATTTGGTTAGCAGAATGATAGCAAAAGGAGAGCAAAATTCTAGCTCCATTTTGCCACAGCAAACACCATCTGAAAATTTCTGATTTAAGAGTAAAGGGACTGCATTCCAAGTCACTTGTAGGTGTACAGTGCTGGCATTTGGGTCAATAATTTCTACAGGGTCTTTGAAAAACAAATTATAAAGTTCTTGAAGAAAATCTGGCTCCAAAGAATCAAATTAAAGAATTTTCACAGTCACTACATATTTACGGGTTTTTATGTTTATGGGGTTTTACAATGCTTCAGAGTGGAAAACAGACTAAGATTTAGAAAATTCACTCTCTACTGTGAATACATCCTCCATCATTTTATTTCTGCTTTAAAAAGGACATACAAAGTGTGCAGAGGTATGGGCTATTGGCAGGAATCTTTCACTCTTCTGCCAAAGCACTTCTCTAAACCCCACAGAGCAAAAATGCACCAGTTCTCACTTATTCTCACAATCAAACACCATGTCCCATCTGGTACTATCTCAAGTTCTGTCCTTCACATGCCAAAGACTACCTCTCACCGCAACCTCACAACAAACGCAGGAGAGCCTAGGCCTGCCTTTAACATTTCACATGCTCATTTTACCATTTGCTGAAATTGTTTTAGAAAACGGTATGATATGAGATATATTTATGCTCAAACATTAATCATATGTCAGTGACAGAATCTGCATGTCAAATAGCAACACATTTACCTTGTAATGTTTTTAGATTCATGTAAGAATCTAGATAGAACCCAATACATATACTGCCATGGCCATGTGATTTTCAAGTATTAAGTTTGTTTGCATAAGGAATCAACCTGAGATTTTTCTAAACTGCACTTCTCTGGCATTCGGTATTATAACCTTCATTCAATACAATAAAAGCCAACAACTTGACAATTATTGAAAAAAAATTGTATTTTGGAAGAACTCACTACATAAGGTGACAGAATTCCAAAATCAAATTACATGAAAATATACATCGCAATTTCTTTGTACAATAGGTGAGAAAAATTTGCAGGTATAGAAGAATAGAGGCAAAGAAATATAAAGGACTAAGGAGAAGGGTATGAAGGTAAATAGCAGTTTTAGTAGCAAATCCAGGAATTAGGTAGAAAGCCTGTAGCTGAGCTGTGCATGCTTTATCCAACCTTAATATTTTAGGCAACTGAAGGACATAAATAAAACCGTATCAAAGTTTGATACTGTTTGGGAATATTTCCAGTAAGTTGAATTAAGTACCAACTCTATTAGTCCTTGGGGGAAATGACTGGATTCAAGAGCTCTCAACGGCCAAAAAATGTTATTGCTACATCCAATCCACGAGATGGGTGCAACTAGAATACAAAAAGGACAAAGCACCTAGTGATGACTACTCCTCTGAAGTCATCGATAAAAATCAAGTAATTGCTTATTAAGTATTTCAGTATTTTAACTAAATGATTTTAGAACTTTCTGGCAGCTATAAGAGATAAAAGCAAAGGGGAGTGTGTCAAAACAAAGAAGATACAAAAGTTTAGTAAGTGAAAAGAGTTTAATGAAGCCTCAATGGTTTAAGGAAATTAAGTGGAAACTTTTAATCCTAATTGCTTTTCATCTCACATGCTTTAAGGAGTCTTTTAAAACTGATAAGAAACAATGAATAAGAAAGAAAACCTGCTAAAATCTTTTAGAATTTACACGATTCTTATTCTACTACAAGAAAGCATTATTTGGTACAAGGTGTATTTGTGGATGTACATGAACAGTATATATATTATCCGGATCATGTTGTGCTATGTACAGGTCTTTACAATTCTTCCTGAAGGTTAAAATAGTTCATTAGAATTCAAAATGCGTAATCATCTGTAAGTTGGCACTTGTTAGGCTCTTGTCAGCATTGATAACTGGCATGTTTTATTGCAGCCCAGTTCCGCCAGTGTCTGCCAACTTGTTACAACAGAAGTCCAGCAATAGGTGGGTAGAGTGCAGGAAAACAGTGCCATGTTTCTCAATTGGAGACCTACAACAAAACAAACAACATTTTTATGATGAATTTACATATTTCAAAAATTACTAATTGATTAGAAATGTTTATTTATATTCTATTAATTTGGTAACAAATCCTTAACTTCATTTTAAGCTCACTTTTGCACCTGTGGCTGTTTAATTTTAAATCTACATTATGGTAACTGATAATTAAACAAAAATCATGGGTCTGGGCATGGTAGCTCATGCCTATAATCCTAGCACTTTGGGGAAGCTATGGTGGGGAGTGGGGAAAAAAGCTTGAAATCAGGACTTCAAGACCAGACTCAGGCTGAGGATCACTTGAATCTAGGAGGTGGAAGTAGCAGTGAGCTATGATGACACAGCTGTACAATAGCCCAAACAACAGAGCAAGACCCTGTCTCAAAAACAAAAAAACATTTAGTTTCTCACTTGTGCTAGCCTCATTTCAAGTGCTCAATAGTCACATTGGGCTGGTGGCTACTATACAGAACAGCACAGGCATAGACTATCTCCATCACTGCAGATAGTTCTACGGAAATCACTGATTTATATTTTCTTTCTTTCTTTTTTTTTTTAAATTCAGACAAACTACATTGCCCTTAGTACAGTGGTGGCATGATAGCTCACAGCAACCTCAAACTCTTGGGCTAAAGAGATTCTCTTGCCTCAGACTCCCAAGTAGTTAAGACTACAGATGCCCGCCACAAAGCCCAGATATTTTTTTGTTGTAGTTGTCAATGTTGTTTTTAGCAGGCCTGGGCTGGGTTCTAACCCACTGGCCTTGGTGTATGTGACTGGTGCCCTAACCACTGAGGTACAAGTGCCAAGCCTCTTTTTTTTTTTTGAGACAGAGTCTCAGGCTATTGCCCCGGGTAGAGTGCTGTGTCAACACAGCTCACAACAACCTCCAACTCTTGGGCTCAAGAAATCCTCTTGCCTCAGTTTTTCTATTTTTAGTGGATACTCTGGTTTCTCTTCAAATCACATAAATCTTTCACCTTTTACTATGAAGATGGGCTCTCACTTTTGCTCAGGCTTGTCTCGAACTCACGAGCTCAAGCTATCCACCCTCTGTGGCCTCCCAGAATACTAGGATTACAGGCGTGAGCCACCATGCCTGGCCAGACTTATATTTTTTCAATATTCCAAATGTTTTTCAACTTATATTACAAATAGAATCACAAAAGGACAATCATTTAAAAGTCAAGTGTTTGGGGCTTGATGCCTGTAGCTCAATGGTTAGGGTGCCAGTCAGATAAACTGGGGTTGGTAGGTTCCAAACTGGTCTGGGCCTGCTAAACAACAATGACGACTACAACAACAACAAAAATTAGCTGGGTGTTGTGGCAGGCACCTGTAGTCCCAGCTGCTTGGGAGGCTGAGGCAAGAGAATCACTTAAGCCCAAGAATTTGAGGTTGCTGTGAGCTGTGATGCCATAGCACTCTACCAAGGACAACATAGTGAGACTCTGTCTCAAAATAAATAAATAAAAAGGTCAAGTGACTGGGGGGAGGTTCAAGTCAAGGACATTTACAAACAGACAAAAAGACTGTCACACTTCACAACTTGCCAAATCTATCCAACTCTCTAGATTCAGTTCAAACCCATTTTCAACATAGATCTATCCACAAATTAACCTCCATCACAATTACAGTTTGTCTTTTTTTTTTTAGTACCCAGAGCCTTTCTTATGTTAATGTGTGCTTTGAATATGGGAGGGCAGCTGAGGGCAACAGAGAAGAAAACACCTATTTCTTCTTCTTCTTTTTTTTGAGACAAGCATCTTACTTTGTCACCCTCTGTACAGTGCTGAGGCCTAACAGCTTACAGCAACTCAAACACATGGGCTCAAGTGATTCTCTTGCCTCAGCCTCCTGAGTAGCTGAGACTACAGGCACCTGCCACAACACCTGGCTATTTTTAGAGACAGGGTCTTGCTCTTGTGCTCAGGCTGGTCTTGAACTCCTGAGCTCAAGTTATCCAACCACCTTGGCCTCCCAGAGTGCTAGGATTATAGGCATGAGCCACTGCACCTTGGCCTGAAAGCAACAATTTCTTCTATTACACGTTTAGGTCAAGTGTTCCAAGGAACCTGGAAACCTGTGTCTGCTGCCAAGCACAATTCTGGGCAAGACAACTCAAAACACAAGATGACTGGTAATTCAAGGGTTAAAATTTTAAGCTCTTGACCTAGGGTCCAAATATACTTAACAGTGATAGCAGGCTGGGCATGGTGGCTCTTGCCTATAATCCTAGCACTCTGGGAGGCTAAGGCAGGAGGATCTCAGACCAGTCTGAGCAAGAGTGAAACTGCATCTCTACTACAAACAGAAAAATTAGCCAGGCACAGTGGTACATGCTTATAGTCCCTGCTACTAAGGAGGCTGAGGCAGGAGAATCACTTGAGCTCAGGAGTTTGAGGTTGCTTTGAGCTATGATGACGCCACTATATTACTATACTCTAGACCCTGTCTCCAAAAAAAAAAAAAAAAAAAAAAAAGAGTTATGGCAAATTTTAACTCCTACCAGACATACTCCAATTTTGGTGTGTCTTTTAAAGCCCAATCACCCAAATTCAACCATACCAAAAGTTCAGTTGTGGGGAGAAACAAAGCTGTGAGTCAATCTGTGGCTATAAACATGCCTATTTCCATAAATCAGACTGCCTTCCTAGGGTAGATCTTTAACAGATCATAAGAGGTAGAACTGCTAAATTTCTTTCCAAAAGGATTGTACCAACGGATGTAAATAGCCTTCTCAAAGAATGAAAGGTACCAAGTAATACTGCCTTCATTAGAATGAGGTTCTACTATCTGTGCACAGATATACATAGGTGCAGACATGATTTGACAGAAGATCTAAAGACATGTACCAAAACTCAGGAATTATTTTATAACTCAATGTTATAAAATAGGTACTGTAACTTTAAGGTAGTGTTACTTACATGTTTTTCCAAAAACTATACCACACCCAAATTAATCCCTGGCCAATAACTCTCTTTGGGCATTCAGTAATCATTCCCCTATGATATAAACACTGACAAAGCCACAAAATCTTTATGAACTGTTTCTTCGTGAGATTGTAAAGAAAAATCAGCACAGAGGATTGACTGCTGAAAGTCATTAAACACCTAAAATCAGGAGACCTGGTTTAAAGACCTGGTCTTTAGTAGTGAGGGCCCAGCTTTAAACTATATTAGCTTTTTTAGCATAGAAAGGAAAATCTATTCCTCCCTTTGAAAAACAATTATTTTAAACAGAAGAAAGGCCTTGGTTCAGAAAAGGTTTATCATTCTTTTTCCTAGAAAGATTACATGTAAAAACTGAATTACCTGCACAATAATCTAAATAAATGGTGCTAACCTAAGAAAAGTCAGATAAAGTAATTCAAATAACCAAATCACACAATTCCCCAAAACTTACACAACACAAAAAGCATGCGTATGATTTGTAAAATAAACTTACCCTGAAATAAGTGAAGTTTCTAGCTGCTAAGTAAATGTCACTCAAAAGCAGTCTCTTGGCTTTTTCTTACACAGCGGGCAACTTTTCTTTTAAATTCTCCATTTCTGTCTTCCCTCCATTCTTTCTGTAGATACAAAATAATAACAAATGATTTTATGCAAACTCTCCTTTATAATCTCAAATACTTATTTTAATCTTTTTTTTTTTTTGAGACAGAGCCTCAAGCTGTCCCCCTGGGTAGAGTGCTGTGGCATTAC